TAGCCCATAACCTAAAAGGTGCCCTGTGGTGTTTTCTGCAAACCAACAAAAGCCATGTTTACCTTGTTACTTACCAAAACACACTGTGGGCGTCCTTAAGGTCAAACAAATGAGGCCATGAATGTATTTGCTTCCTCATAACACACTTGCGATGCTGATTGTTCTTTAAAAAGTCTGAAACCCGTACTCTTTACATTTACGTTTAGTAGAAAGCAGTCTTCCTCCTTGCCTTAGCCGGCATATTGCTGCATATCTTGGCTGTAGCATGAATGTGTATGTCTCTGCATCCTTACAAGACAAACACAACTGGGACCCACTCACAGAAAGCCTTTACCTTTAAAGAATAGTTTCACAATTCTTCAGGTCTGTCTAACAACAATAGACAAGTTCCCCATGCTGCCACCATTTCTCCCTTAATGCTGGCTACTAAAAGATCCCTTCTGAATTGCATCCAGTGTGCTTACACGTCACTTACATTCCTCCTTCTGTGCAAAAAAAGTTAATCTGAAGCTTATGTTAGGCTTCAGCTGTTTGAGTTCAACAAATCTATCTATTTTGTCCCCCCGATTACTTTCAAAGAAAAGACTAAGGAATGTATCTCTTCATGGCCAGTGTGAACAGGAAGAATAATCCCAGCAAGCAAAACCTCTTTCAGTGTTCAGTGACTTGAAAAGAATGTGAACCTTTCCATTAAAGAAACCAGAAACCAATAGGTAAAAATAAATAAATAAATAAAAGCTTTTCTTCTTGGCAAGTGAGGTGTGACTATACTAATGTCTAACCTGAAAGATTTCCCCTGACAACTGTTTTGTGAAGGAAAATAGACACCATACAGACATACAATTATACACGCACACAAAAAAATCTATTCACAGGCACAGAGTACTCATGCATCACTCACAGGGAAGAAGTCATTATGACAATACAGTTCGTCTCCTATGTAGTTGTATAAAGAACACAATATACAACAAACTCCTGAGTGCTGATGTAAATTATTCTAATGTTCCCCCAACAGGTATTGAAATTTTGGGAGAAAAATAGAAAGCAGGCATCAGCAGAAAACAGTTCCTTGCCTTAAAAAAAGAAACATGTTGGCATGACTGAAGAGGTAAATTATCCGACTTGTGGTTTATCAGTTAAGTTGGGAAACTAACATGAGGTAGATGAGGGCAACCTTTTGGTTTTCCATGTTGTTTCATATTGTACAGAACACACAAACTGCAAAAGGACAGGTTTTAATTTTTAAGTTTTTATTTAATATAAAATGCAAAAAAAGGCATATTTCCTTTCCTAGCAAAGATGTTAAAAATAATTAAATCTTGAAAACTTCTTCAGAAAAAATAAATTTCTTCTCTCATTGTGTAAAATTACAGTATACAAAATAATATATTAAAAATCGTGTAGCAACTAGAAATGTTCACGCCATTACAAAACCGTTTGTTCTTCAAAGCGAATTATTTGGCTGGTTAAATTCCTGTAAAAACTAACGGTAATCTTGGTCTCTCCTCATCATCATCATCTGAGGCTGCTCTGGTCGACGTCTCTGGTTCACGTGGTGCGGCTCTTGTGAACTCATGACGATGTCTATGGATATTGGGAATGAAAAACGATCCATCATCTGTGCGATCTTCTCCTGGTGAACGCCGTGCTTGTTCCTCCTGGAGGGAGAACAGGGCAGTGTGGTAAGTTCTATACGTTGTATAAAGTCTGCAATGGCATGTAAATATAACGTGATAATTAAGAAATCGTACTTCTCCAGCTCGTAACAATCAAACTTCCAGCTGGTGTCAGGTTCACAAAAGTCCACTTTGTATCCTCTGTCCAAGGCCTGTTAAAAAAGGCATTTTTATTAGAATCTATGAAGGTTTATTAGTACATCATAACTAAACACACAATTATATGTAAAATCCCATACCCACCATTTTGACATATGGCTTCATTTCCCAAGCTTGGATGTTTGTGTTATCAATAATAATGGGAGATCTGCCATCTTGCATAGCGTCTTTAGCTGAAAGTAGATTAAGCACACAAAAAAAGGTTGAAATAAGTTCTTGCAAGGAAATAAAAATCTAATCAAACCACATTTTCTAAACTATCATCTACCTAAGGGAACTTGTTGCTCCCATAATGCATCCACTTTATTAGCTAAAAGGGCAATGCTTTGTAGATGAGGATGACATTCAATTACCAACAGACTCACTGACTAACTATTTTTTGACCTAAAAAGTGGTTTACCAAAGACCACTGTGGCTATTGTTCATAAACTGTGTGTCTGAAATGTGAAGACAACACTAGAAAAGACGGTACTGACTGACGTTTAACAGAAAACTTGACATTCATGACATAGAAATAACTTTTACAAACCATTGAAGTTTTAGATTTCATTATGCAGCTCTGCATTATGCAATCATTACAGTTTTTAAATCCGGAAATCTCTCATTCTCGCTTTTACCTAAAAACCCAAGGTCTTATAATTATTGCACTTCAGGGTTAGGGTTAGGGTTTCGCTTATTTGTATTCTCCTTTCTTCCTTTACTTATTTCTGTCTTGTTTTTTACTACACTGTACAGCATCTTGAATCTACAGTTGTGTATGAAACGTGTTTTATAAGTATTATACTGTATTATGAATCACCATGCCTTGCCTAAAGTAAGCCGTGTGAGCATTTAAAGGAACAATACCTCTCCTCTGGTTCCATTCATGTGCCGCTCCAAGAAGGCCTGGTTCATAGCGGTAGCCCTCTCTGTAAGCAAAGTAGTCATCTGTGCTCAGTATCAGCCCACTGGGACCGGTGGAGAGCAGCTCCCTGTGAGAAAGATGGGACACAGGTGAACAATGAAAATGATATGTTCAGGCTTTGTTATTAAGTTTTAGATGACAGTGCACTAACTAAAGACACTCGAGGTTGCACAAAGCTGTACCTGGCCAGTGTTGATTTACCGGATCCTGGTAATCCCCTCATCAACATCAGCACCAGGGAAGGATGGTATGCACTGCTTTTATCAGGGGGTTGGCAGTGATGCTCCCACAGTTTATTTTCTGAATCAAATCTCTGGCGTCCATCATAATCTTCACCCAACTGCCCCTGTTCTTCTTTTCTATCTCTAGACCATCCAACATTTATGTTATCTGAGTGTTCATCATATCTACAACGGCGTTCGTCCCTGTCAAAGTGGGGCAGAGAATCTCCATAAAAGCCCTGAGATTGGAGACGGATTGGATGCGGGAAGCTGGAAAATGTTGGGAAATGCGACTCATCTTGATACTGGTTGGTCACGCCAGAACTGCTCCAGTTTGGATTCCTGTGTGATGGTGGGTTTTGTGGATTTGGGAATACAGGTTGGGGTGGTGGGCGATGGAATGGGGGCCTGTGAAATCTTGGGTGTGGCGGTCTGTTCGGTGTTTGAGGATGAGGCCACTGATTCTGAGTAGGAGCAGCTCTACCAGAGCTCAGGTCCACGCCTGGTCTCGGTCTTCTGGGGTGGTATGGCTCATTCTGATACCAGTGGGGCCAGGATGCCTGTTTCTGTCTGCTGCTTTTATGGTAGCCGTCTGTTTGTGCAGATTTAACAGACCTCTCCTCAAATACACCATGGACCTCTTCGCTGGGAGATTGAAGAAAACCTGCATCTCGTCTCCCTGGGCTGTCATGAGCACTATCCGGAGTATCGATCTTCTCAAGCTCTTTGTAAAACTCACTCAGTGTGTCTTCAAAGTCAGACTTGACTGTGGTTTCTTTTGGAGGAAATGCTGGACCAATGAAGGTGGTGCTGGTGAGTCCTACCTCCTTTAACACACGCTGCCTCACACTTCTGTCTGGACTGTTGGAGCCATTACTCACTAGTTTGGTGTCTTTGTCAGCGGAGTCATCTCTACCATCGTCTGTTCTTTCACGCACACCCACACAAGGGTTTTCTATGCCACCAGAGGAGGATTCAGTATGAGACATCTGATAGACAACAGATTAAAATACGGTCAATACCCCGCACCAGCACAGAATACTCTATTAGAAATAATTACTTTTAGTTTTATTTGCAATATTACAGCCCTTCGTGAAAAGAGGAGGCATATCAGTCGATACAGGTTTTAAATTCTTTGTGTTCAGAAACTCATTGGAGGTCATACTGTACACGAAGTGAAGCTTAAAACCGAAACCAAGCCATTCATTAGAAAATGTCACCGAGCTGTACAGAGGACGGTGAAGAACACAACTTATTTACGTTAAAACAAAATAAATACGGCAACACACGTAGAAAATGTCGCTACTCGACAATGCTCACCGTTTATATTCAGGACGCATAAATGAGGGAAACGACATTAACCAAAAATACTCGACACACAGTTTCCACATTGCTGGTGCCTTATGTTTACGGAAGTGACGCCATTCTTCTTCTTCGCTTCATTAACGATCGTGGAGGCGGGTAGTGAGTCCGCCAGCGCCACCAGCTGGACTGGATTGTAATGCAAGGTGTCGCTTCTCCTTTTGGAAACAATTATATAGTGGAAGCGAGGTGGGCTGGATTATGATTATTAGGAAACCAATATATTTCATTTAGTTTTATATCTGTATACCTTTGGTGAGATAGACTATAAAGTCAATTTACTTTAATAATATGCTATTAAAGTGAATTTGTGACAATGTTTTATGATAGCACTTGTGTTTTTGGACACTTAAGAAACTTTTTTATACGTTAATAGCCGACACATCAAACATGCCCTAGTTATTAACCTTTTGTTGCTAGTAAGCAACTTAAAACATTAAAATGACAAAGGAGAATTCCCCTTTGTTTTCAAAGTAGCAATTTTTGTTAAAATATTGCTAAGCATGTCACCATCTACAGGTGTGACCAGAGCTCAGTTATTTGTCTTTGAACACAGCACAAATAAGGGATCATAAAGCTAAACTGCAGGAATGCAATTTTACATTTGTTTAACCAGCTTAACAAAACAGTAGACTGAAGAGAAGACCAGTATGAAGTAATGACATGATTTTACTGATGTGAAGTGATTTCACCTCTTTAATGAGTCCAGTGAGACTACAAAACAACCACAGAATATGTGCCATATGCAGACTTTTAGCCTTTGCATCCACTCATTTGTACAGTTTTTTAAAAGTTTAGCGTGTTCGTCATCATCAACATCATCATCATCATACAGTCTTATGTACCTAAATCACCAACAAGCAAAGCCTGAGTATCAATCATAGCCAGTTCCTCGTCATTCACCCATTCGTCTTCCACCGGTGAACTGGCGGGTTTGCGAGCTGGAGTCTGTGCAGTTTTTAAAGTGCTTTGTGTCCCAGACCTCCGAGGGGGGTTGAATGTCTTTTTTATACATGGAGAAGCCATTGAGCCCAGGTGGGGGAGAGGTGGTGGAGATGGGATACGAGACAGATAGTCCAGAGCTCTCCTCCTCTTCAAGCTGGCAGGGTCCTTCTCTGTTGAACAGTTTTTTGCAGGAGGGTTCCTGCTAACAGGCGTAAACGATCCAAGGCTTCTGACTGGCTGCTGAGACGTCAACTGCACAAAAAAGGACACAGTGTTAGCTTTTCTTCAATAGGAAGCAGTTACAAAACAGTCCCAGATACCACAGCAAGTACCGTAAACTCACATTCGTCTTTGTGTCCTGTCTACTGTGTATTGTCGAAGCTGGGGTTCGTGTTTGCAGAGCTGGAGAGGAGATGGACGTAAGGCCATCAGATTTGACTAAATGCGACAGCTTCTCCTCAGCAGTTAGAAAGAAGTTTTCCTGGCCCTGAAAATATATGATGAAAATTGTGGTTATCATTTTAACATTTTATTGTACCCAAACCAAGGAGATGGAGAAAAGAAAGATAAGAAAGATCTACATCGTCCGGTGAGCTGTTAACCCTTATAAACAATCATTTCAGGATATGACCATTATTCTGTATGTCTCATGTGTCTGTATGCACAGTACTGAATCTGTTAGCGGTCAATAAGAGAGACTTTGCTATTTCATTTCTTTTTTTACGAATATGTTTCCAGTGCTGTTAGGCACAACTTCTTTTAGAAGTCAACTCAGTAAATATGACAAAATTGCTTTATATTTTTCCCAGTCAGCATTTCCAGTTTCATCTATCATAATCCGCACCTGTACCTTAATGGAATTATACTGTAGCTAATGCGACTGCTCCAGAGCACAAAGCACTTTGGCTGTGAGAGCCTCCGGCCGTTGATAGACAAGATATCTTTAGATTTTAGCACTGTACCTGGACCAGGTTTCTGAGTTGGCTGAGGGATTGGTGGAGATGAGCTTCCTTGGGGTTTGTTGAGAAGACAGTCAAATCTCCAGCGTACACAACAGGAGCGGGAGACATGGACTGACCTCTCAGCTGCAGGTTGCTCAGAGCCAACAGGACACGTGGTTTTACCACATCTTCCAAGCCAGACTGAGCCAAGCTGCTGAAACAGCGCACTTTTACAAAGTTCAGTCTCCCATCTGACAAATAAAATGCTGGAGAGAAACCTGTGTTCAAAATCACAAACAATCACTTAGTAAACAATACACTTACGGCAGAAACAGTAAAGAAAAAAAAAAATCACCTACCCTGTCCATCTATGATACTGATGACGTATCCGGTGAGATCAACCTCTCCACACAGTGGCTGGAATTCTTGGTTTTGAAGATCCACAAAATGGCTACAGACTCTCGGTTGAAAACGTGTTGCTAACCATTCCTTAGAAGCCTGAATCATTCAACAAACCACAAGTATTATAAATAATTTCCATCATCTATCTAAATGTATAAATACTGTATGTACAATTCCATATGTACATTGAGTGTGATTAAGTACCTGCAGGTCCTGAAACTGTGTTTTCTTTGTCCCAGTCAGCTGAACAGTGCTACCGCCATGTTTCTTTCCATCCGAAGTGGCGAGGTTATAGACTTTGTATCGACTGCCTTCCTTCAATAAAGACTGAAGATCTGAGGGAGGCCGCCAAAGGTTCAACTGGTACACTAAAAGAAAACCAACAACACAATTTTAAAATCAGTATTTGAATACACAAAAGTACATACCTTAAAGTAACCATTGTACATCTAAAATAAATAAATACAAAGACATACCATTGCCAGGTTGGTCCATGGAGTCAGCAAAGCAGAGTCTCCACACAGGTGTAACGTCTCTCTTCAGACAGCTACCTTCGCAGTCTTCTGCATTTTCTAAAGCTCGTCGGTACCGATCTTGCAGTTCAGCCTGCTTTTTCTCCAGCAGAGAACGCCTGAAGGTACGTAGAGTCTCCAACTGCTGTTCACTCAAATTAGCCTTGGACAAGTAAGTGTACAATTAAAACTCTATTCATAAGAGAAATTAAGTCAAAAAATGAAGTCTGTAAAGTAAATTTCTTATCACCTCATGGTAAGCTGGGTCATCCCCCACTGCTTCATAGAGCTCCTCTCCGTCTTGGAGACTCGCAATATCCCTACGAGTGATTGTCCGTCTTCTTCGTTGAGGTTTGTTATTACCTGAAGATGACATTTTGTTGAAACGTATTCCATTTTAGCCTGTACAAAACATACTGCAAACATGTTTCCTACCTTTCTCATCCTTTTCAAATTCAGCTTGAATCTTCGCAAACAGGTTCTCCATAGCTTTTTGTTTGTGGCTGTTGTATCGTCTCGCCTCTCGCTCTTCTGCACGAACGGAACGGAACACAACACCTCCATCTGGTTTCCTCTCCATCCACTGGAAAATGTGAGAAGCATATGAATATATATGAACTTCCAGGAGAAACGGTAAAAATATATCAATGCAAGACTAAAAGCACCTGTATGGGGTAGCTTCTCAGTATGACAATGTCCACACATCCTACTGGTCCTCCACTGCTGTACAAACAGGAGACAGGAAGCAGGAATGGTCGTGGATCCTTGTGAAATCCAAGCTTAGCATCCCATCGTGTGGGCCTGCTGCTATTGGCGCAAATCTAAAAAACATGAACACATAATAAGCCAACTTGTTATTTGTTTGCCTTGTGGACAGATAAAATAACTTGTTGTCTCCGTCTTAAAATACCTTTAACATGAGAGAGTCAGGGGCCTCCAGAGGGGAGCAAGCATCTTGTGATCCCACCAACTGAGCCCCATTGATGATCATCTTCCCACCGACAGCCAGTCGACCTCTGTGCAGCATGGCAGTCAAAGGTTCATCCAGCTGGGCTTTAATTGTATACCATCCATCTGTCAGCCAAACAACCGCAGAAGGGTTTTCAACCTTGGACTCAGCACCTGGAGTCTTGATGTCACTAAAACTGTGTCTTTTGGGGGAGAGACCCCTGGAGACAACCCCACAAACACAGAGGACGATAGTTTTGGCTGCTGTGTCGTCCTTTTCCATGATCTTTCTCAGAGCCGGCCTGCGACTGTGGTCCACCTCTACATCATATCTAATATGCATAAAATAAAATAAATGTTTCAGAGAACGAGAATTTAGACATTTTTTATTGCTTTGTATGGATTAATGTAAATGTAATTGTAATGTGACTAATTAAAACATAATAATTCAATAAAATTGCACTGTACTGTACATTATTAGCCAAAAAGCTAATTTAATCAAGCCTTTAAATCTTGCACAAAATTGCGGTTGGGAATGTGTAATACCATTGTCAGGTTAGGGATATATATACACACACACTTGTGTGGATGTCTTTCAATGAAATTAACTTCAATCACAGGAACATGCAGAACTAAAACAAGCTATAATCCTACATACCTGTACTTCAGTTGAAGGAGAACCTGCTCTGGGGTGAGACAGAGGCTGCCCATTGTTTCTGGAAAGGATCTTTCCATTGAGGCCTGCTTCCATACAATCCATCTGTAGTGATTGTACACCCAATCCTCACTGATCAGTTTAGGATCCACACCCGGGGTGTCACACAATGCTCTGTGGACAGTGTAGAACAAGACGATATTCAGTACAATTAGCCTGCAGTCTGCATTTGCACATACCAACATACACCTGGTTTCACAAGCATTCTAATAACAATACAAAGCCGGGCTGATTTAAACTCAACTAGAATTTAATAATACCTATAAAACTCTTCTTTCCCTGCAGTCCCATCATTGCTGGGGATCAGCCATCCTCCATCAGCAAGTTGAACACCACCTCCGTCTATAAATGCTTCCTTTTTGACAAACTGCTGTAAATTGAAGCGAAAAGATTCTGCAGTCTCACTGGTGATCGCGTACACATGCTGATGAACTCCGTATTCATAAAGCTGAAAAACAAGAACATGAGCGTGTCAAAAAGTGGTTTTCCTCATGGTGATCTCGTTTATAAACAAATACATCAAAATCAACTGAGAAAACAGTTCTGGCCTTGCCTGTTTTTGGGTGTATCTCGCAGGAGGCTTTCCATTTACTGCAGCTTTTAATGCTATCCTCGACACTCCACAGGTTTTGGTTAGAAACAAACTACCTGGCAAAGGCCGAATGTTCTGGCGCTTCTTTTTCCTGATCCTCATGTCTTGCATATCTCGTGCCAGCTCTACGTTAGGAAGATTCTGAAACATGTCTGTAGACCACAAAAACATCACTATTTCATATGTTGTGCAGAGTATTTACAGTGTATCATACTGACTTCATCCAAAAGAATTACTGCACCTTGGCTTGTGGACAATGTGTCCTCCACACGTGAGTTCTCTGATCCACAACCCACAGGAAGGTTTTGATTATGAATCAGATTATCATTTGTAGTATCGGCTAAAGCCACAGTCTGAATGTCCTTGCTTTTATTACCAGTTACATCTGTAGCGGGTGGGACGTAAGTGTTGCTGTTAAAGGGCGTTACAAACAGATGGTGGGTTTTATCCTCCTCCTCCTGTGGTTTAGAGGAGCTCTCTTGGACAATAGTTCTTTGTTTTTTGAATGGAGGAACAAACACAGGAGGTGTTCTTATGTTGTCCTTGAGCACTGTATTCTTGCGACTCTCTGTCTTTGCACTCTTAAGGAATGGAGGAACAAACGTGGGCATCTTGGAATGTGCTGATCTGCTGTCTCCTGGGCTTGAGTGCCGTGTTGGTGTTGTCTTTTGCAATCTGGTTTCCACATAATTTATTCCATTCCTGTAAGATACAAAACGAAGACAAGGCAAAGAGCTGATAACCTGTGTAGGCCACTTGAAAACAACTTGGCCAACAATTCACAGGCAACTTACCTATGGGGTGTTGTGATGTTTGGATGAAGAGAGACGCTGTATCGGAAAACTCTCCTGTCTTTCATTACAACTTAATTAAGAAACAAAATTAAGAATTACTTCATTTATAACACAAAATATGTGTTCTTTCTTTCATTTGTTACAGTGCCAGTGAGTTACCATTTGGACTGCTTATTTCCGGACGGAGTGTTGAACCTCTTGGACCATCAACAGTCCTGTCAAATTCTTCCAGTAATCTTCTTTTCAGGGGAGGCTGACCTATTTCAAATAAGTAAGGAAACAGTTTATGATTAATAAACATACATGTAACAGATTGATATGGGTAATATACAAGCATTGTAGTTCATTTAAAAAATAATGGTATTTTTGCAGCATGGGAACAATTTATCAACAATAAACATATTATATAACTTAGATTTCCGAGTAGTAACAGACACTTACCAGCCATATCTGGGTCCTCTGCGAGTCTTTTTCCTGTCCCTTTTTGTTCCTCCACAGATTTGTTGCTGCATTTTAGGTTATCTTGCAGTGGCACATTTTCTGAAGTCATTGAGAGTCTTAGACTTTCATCCTCTAACAGAGCTTTAGTGCAGTCCAGAGCTTCCTGGGCAAGAAACTTCTGCTGGGTTTCAGTGCATCCACTTAGGTTAAGTGACTGAAAGAATAGAACCGGAGATTCTTCTGTCTTTTTTACCTTAGATCCCCCACTGCTGCTTGTCTGATTTATTGCATAGTCCAACACACTTGACATTTCCTCTTCGGGGCTGTCATGGAGGTTGCCCCCCACTGATGAGGTAATTTTACCCTCTTCAATCTTAAATCCGTCTGTAGATGCCTTTTCTTTGATGAGTCTTTCAGTTTCATTTTCATTGTCAGTCACTTGCAAAGAGGTTAAAGGTTTAACCACCAGAGGGGCGCTTTCCTTTGTGGGCAGGTCTTTGTCACTGGCTGTGGCGAGATGAGAATTTGAATGACACTCTCCATCAGCAAATTCTTTAAGAAGGTTTTTTGCTTTTGAAAGATTTGTCTGTGACACATGGACTTTTGCTCCCCCTGCAGTTGTGAAACCACAATGTATCTTTTCTGTATCATTTCGAGCATCTCTGTGTTCACTCTCCCTTGTGTCTGAAACAGTTGGGATCTCTGTACTGAAACTGGTGTCACTTAAGAGAGCTTTTGCTTTCTCGAGGGCCTCAGATGAAAATGCAACTGGCTTACCACTGGCAGCAAGAAATCCACAATGTCTGGGTGGTGGAGGAGGATTTGGCATCTTGCAATGTGTTGGTTTTACATCGATTTTATCCTCAACTCCTTCACATTCACTTAACAGAGTTTTTGCTTTCTTCAGGGCTGCAGATGAAATAACAACTCCTTTTCCACTAGCTGTCTGAAACCCACCATTCTGTGGCAGCACAGTCTCTACTTTGTGTTTCAGCTCTTTGTTTGTGTCATCAAACATGGCACTTTCATTCAATAGAGAATGTGCTTTTGTCATTGCATGATCTGACACAGATACTTGTTTTCCGCTGGCTGTGCAGAATCCACCACTGTTGCTGAATTCACTGATGGCAGAGCAACCAATGTTCTTTGAGGATGTGCACAATGGGGAAGAAAGAGGCTTTGATATCAAAGATGGGTTTCCGTGTAAAGATGCTGCATTGGTAGAATCTGGCATGTTCTTTAAACCCCCTTTGTGAATCTCCACACCTTCACTATGTAGCATCTTTTCATGGATCACAACTGGTCCTACCGTCACATTTTTAAACTCAGAGCGTCCACTTCCAGGTTCTTCACAAATGTTTATGGCCGCCCTCTGATCTTGTTCAAATTTTGAAAGGTTTTTATTTTTACTGCCACTTCCACTGACAGGTGCAATACTTTTCCTATGCTTTAATGGCATGCTTTCTTTACCGTCCATTATGTCACAGTCCTTGAAGAAAGCACCTGCATCTTGCATTTCTTTTGTGGAAATACAATCATCATCACAATTTTTTAAAAGCTCTTTTGCTTTCAAAACATTTTTCTGTGACACGTGGACTTTTGCTCCCCCTGCAGTTGTGAAACCACAATGATTTTTTTCTGTATCATTTCGAGCATCTTTGTGTTCACTCTTCCTTGTGTCGGAAACAGCTGGGATCTCTGCACTGACACGAATGTTACTGAAGAGAGCTTTTGCTTTCTGGAGGGCCTCAGATGAAAATGCAACTGGCTTACCACTGGCTGCAAGAAATCCACAATTCCTGGGTGGTAAAGCAGGAACTGGCATCTTGGAATGTGTTGGTTTTACACCGATTTCATCCACAACTCCTTCATATTCACTCAACAGAGTTTTTGCTTTCTTCAGGGCTGCAGATGAAATAGTAAGTCCTTTTCCACTGGCTGTCTGAAATCCACCGTTCAGTGGTGGCATGGTCTCTACATTGTGTTTCAGCTCTTTGTTTGTGTCATCAAACATGGCACTTCCATTTAATAGTGAATGTGCTTTTGTCATAGGGTCATCCAACACTTTTTTCCCACTGGCTGTGCAAAATCCACCACTGTTGCTCAATTCGTTCTTTGATGTTGTGCACAATGGGGAAGAAAGTGTCTGTGCCTTCAGATATGGGTTTCCGTGTAAAGATGCTCCATTGGTAGAATCTGGCGTGTTCTTAAAAACCCCTTTGGGAATCTCTACATCATCACTATGCAGCATTTTTTCATGGTTCTCAACTGGTCTTACGGTCACATTTTCAAACTCAGTGCATCCACTTCCAGGCTCTTCAGAAATGTTTCTCACCCTCTGATCTTGTTTAAATTTCTTCTCATTGTCACTTCCACTCAAAGGTTCTATACTTTTCTTATGTTTTACTAGCATGCCATCTTCACTGTCAATAATGTCCATGTCCTTGAAGAAAGCATCTGCTTCTTGCATTGCTTTTGTTGAAACAGAACCATCATCAAATTCTTTCAAAAGGTTTTTAGCTTTCAGCAGACTTTTCTGTGACACATGGACTTTTGTTCCCCCTGCAGTCAAGAAACCACACTGTATTATTTCCTTATTTCCAGCACCGACTTGTTTCCTGTCACCGTTTCTTGTGCCAGAAACAGCTGGGATCTCTGCACTGAAATGAATGTCACTGAAGAGAGCTTTTGCTTTCTGGAGGGCATCAGATGAAAATGCCACTGGCTTCCTGGGTGGTAGAGCAGGAGCTGGCATCTTAGAATGTGTTGGTTTTACACCGATTTTATCTTCAACTTCATCACACTGACTCAACAATGATCTTGCTTTCTTGAGAGCTGCAGCTGAAATGGCAACTCCTCTGCCGCTGGCTGTCTGAAAGCCACCATTTGTTGGTGGTGAAACCTGAATTTGATTAGCAAGGTAACCTGTTCTTAAAGCATCTTTTTGTTTCAGTTGTTTGTTTGTGTCCTCAGGTGTATGAATGTCCTCTGCTTTCTTCATTGCATCAGCTGACACGAATACTTTCTCCCCACTTGCTGTACAGAATCCACCACCATTACTCAATTCACTGGCGACAGAGGAGCTAATATTCCTTGATGTTGCGCATGAGACAGATGGAAGTGCTTTTGCGGCCCAAGATGGGTTTCCATGGAAAGAAGCTGGTTTATTCTTAAAACCAAAAGTGGGAATCTCTACATTATGTTGCACAACTTCTGAATGGCACTCAGCATTCACATTTTCAAATTCACTGACTGGTTCTTCAGAAAAGTTTACTTCCATCTCTTGAACATTTTTACATTTCTTAAGGTTTTTCGTATGACTGACACTTGGCAAGGGTTCTATGTTCTTTTTCTGTTTTACTGACATGGCAACGTTACTCTCTGTAACGTCACAGTCTTTAAAGAAAGCATCTGCCTCTTGCATGGCTTTTGCTGATATAGAAATCCCCTTGCCACTGGCCATTTGAAAACCACTTTGACACAAGTTGGTTGTTTCCATTTTGTTGTTTTTAAAACCATTTGTACCAACTTCAACTCTCTTGCCTGTGACTGGTCTGTCTGAAAAGACAGTCATGGTGGAAAAACAGCCCACAGTATCATTACCATGACCTGTGAACTTCGAATTATCTTCTTTATGATGCAAAAAGTTACCAGTGTGATTGTCCACGCTGCGCTTCTGCTGTGTTTTAGCATCAGTTTCACTACTTAGCTTGTCCGGGAATTTTTGACTTGTCACAAGATTCTGATCTAAATCTGCAAACAGAGCTCTAGCTTTGCTCAGACACTTTTTTGAAACTCTCAAAACATTTCCTCCAGCAGTCTTAAATCCCACACCAAGCATCAATGGATTTTTGTTTTCCAGCTTGCTTGTTTCAGTGTGCCCAGCTCTGTCAAGATTTTTGGTTTTAGCTGACACAATACCTCTACTGCCTTTGGAGATGTACTTTGAAGAGAAAGACATATCTTCAGTCGAGGAATTTTCTTTTTTAATTGCACTGGGCAATGACAAACTTGTGGATTTACCTGTGATGCATGTTTCACGATTTGGCTTACCATCTGAAACTAAGGTAATTTTGTCATGAATCACAGTAACTGCCAGGTGCTGTTCACCATCTGAATTGAAACTGTCATCAAAGTCTATACCCGTAAGAAAATCAGGGTCAAGTTCTTTGTCAACTTTTTGGGCAGAGGTGGCAGTATCTTGACAATGTTGTTTTAGCTTTGCAGTTTTGAACTGTGTAAATTCAAACTGGCTATCTGCTTCTTCCAAGAGAGTGCACAGCTCGGTCACATCAGCTTTTTGTGAAGCTGTTAAGTGGCAACTGCTATCCACAAAGTTTTCACTTGAAGAAGGTTGGTTTGAGTTAGAGGTTGGATTCTTCACTGATCCATGACTCTTGTGCAGTTTATCTTCAGTACCATGGGCACATTTGATGGGCTGATCACTAAAACTTTCCACTTTGGTGTCTTCAAAGAGATGCTTGGCTCTCTCCATGTTGGCTGAGGAAATTTGTATACCCTTATTTGAAGCAGTTTTGAATCCTGATGCATGGATGGAAGGAAGAGAAACTGTTGTTTTCTCTGGCAGGCTGCCATGAATTTGACCATTAAGTGGAATGCAATTAATGTTATCAACAGTTATTTTTGCACTGCTGATTAGTTGTGTTGATTTGTTTTCTATGGGCAACTCAATCTCTCTCCCAGGGCCCACTGTCTGGCTTTCCTTGACTGCACTGGACTGCTTGGCATCAGTTTCAGCTTCTTGTAAAATATCATCAGACTGTGCTTTTCCATTTCCTTTTTTTGTTGATGGAAAAGGAGTGGCCCAGTGAATATCAGTTTTAAAGCCTGTCCATTGTTGACTTTGACCATTGTTCTTGGAGCTGGGAAGAACAAATGATGATGCAGTCACACAACTGATATCTGCAACAGCAGACTGGAATCCACTGTCACTTACTGTGCCCTCATTGATGGAGCTATTTTGATTAGTGGTGGAAAAAGTTCTGGTACTGACGCCATCAGAGTCATGGTGAAGGTTTGCTTGCCTTGCTTTCTGGTTAGCTTGTTTCATGGCTGACAGACAAGCTGATGGAGAGAAGCCATTTCGAGGAGTATCCCCTGCTACTTCACTCAGTTTACCGGAGTCTGACATTTGACTGAAGTCTTGTGCAAAATCTCTGGAAAGCTGCGATATGTCAAGATCTTGGACTTTTGCTTGAACAGATGGAGGACTTTCTTCAGTGAGATTTCCCTGTTTTTGCATCCGATTCTTCCCGATGCAATCTGCTTCATCAGGGGCTTTCAGCAACTGCTTCACATTCACTTCTTGCCCTGAAATAAAGCGTGATGATTAAAAATGATAAATTCAGTCATTGTAAACAACAGGATTTTTTTTACATTAATATAGCATTTTTATAGTTAACATGTATGAGAAATGTATTACCAGAATCTGGAATCACTGGTGATGAATCCATCTTCTGAGACTGCGTGTCCTTCCCTAGAACTTGTGGGTCCAAAGTCTCAACAGTGTAAACAAACTTTCTCTTTTTCTTAGTAAATCCATAGTCTCTGATTTTAACAGGTGGCCTGACTAGCTGGCCAGAATCAAAGTCATTCTGTAGCTGCTCTGTTGAAATATTGTTTTCCATTTGTGTAGCAGGACTATTATCACGACACGAGGTATCCACAGTACAAGGTGGAATTTCAGATAAGCTCAATGGAGACCACTGGGTGATTCCAATATCTCCAGTTTTCACAAGTGGGGGTGAGGGAAGTCTGCCAGGCTCCTGATCAGCTGTTCTTTGTTCACTGGATGCAGCGTTGTTTGATGTTAAGATGTCTGTAGAGCTGCTGCCAAGTTCTTTTGTTGGGATGATTTGCTTTCTTTTGATTCTGTCGGTTTTTACTTTTCTCAGTGCTGAACTACTGTTGGTGAAAAATAGAGAAAGAACATCTTCAGCTCCATCAAGAACACTTGCTACGGTTCTGCGAATTTCTCCATCCTCAATAGCATCTGGTAGCTTCTGTCTCCAAACAAAATCCCTCTGATTCAGTGAACTCTGTGGGGAGGTATGGCACTCTGGATGCTGATCAGCCTCAGGGGAAACAACACCTGTTGATTACAGACCAGCAATCAGTATCATTTTGCATTATGCATCTAAAAGCCTGAGCGACACAAAATAATTATGCAATTCATATTCAGAGCTACTGCACCATCTTGGATATGAGCAAATTATAGAGAATAAACCAAGTACCTTGCTGAACGGTAGGCATGTCACCGTTTTTGGGTGACACCACTCCAACTTTGGATGCATTTGAAAGAGAAGGGAAAAGCTTCCGTACAAACTGAGAGAGATAAGACAGAACAAGAATCTCATTATTTACTGTAATCGCATCTTTCCTCTGGCTTACACCAGAAAAAATATTAACTGGGAACAATATCTGGATAATCCACTTTTGGGTGAGACTTGAAAAACAATCCTTGTACAAGAACATGATGTCTCCAGCTACTTTGATTCACATTTGAGCCTTGATTTGCATCTCTGGGGTTCACTCTTTAAATCTCTGAGCAATGCTTCCAACATGGATTTAACCAAATCCTTTAACAGGCATTTTAGTGTAAAATCAGAGAATGTTGAAAAACCAAATAAAAGCTACTGTGTCACTGACATGAAGTCAATACTGAGATGCTCATACAGCAAAACCACAGACTTAACATTTAATAGCAGGTTGGGCAGAGTACTCACGACAACATTTTTGTCTGCAGAAACACTCGCTGGGATGGGACTCTCATCAGGTTTAGCTATAAAGTTAAGAAGACACACTAATTATTTAACAAATCACATATACAGATTTCTAAAAACAACCAACAGTGTCATTTGCTTACTTAAAATCAAGGTGGATGGTATTGCTGGTGGAGTGTTCAGAGAACTGGTCCATGACATATCATGATGAATCTGTGCACCAAGACTTTCAGATATATTTTTGGCATAGCTGACCTGTTTAATTCAAAAAAAGAGGGAAAACCTTGATGATATCCACATTCAGATGCCGGCATTTGGTGAAAGAAAAATAACATCAATGTTACGCTTTAATACACTTACTGGGGATTTTTGTGCAGTATGAAGCAGACCTGTACAAATGCCAAACGCAAACAAATTACCCAGTGATGATTAAATATTTTTTTAAATGCAATTCAAACAGATGAAATACAGATATGCTTGCAACTCACCAAAACTATCCTGACTTTGAGGCTGAATATCTCCATATTTTGCACCTGGGACCCTACAAAGAACAAGACAGACATCAAAAACTGCCAGCAGAAGTGAGCACAAAAACACAACTTTTTACACAATGTATATGAAAATAGCCCCATAAACGCTGAATTAAAAGCATATGCAAATAGATTTTAGTTGTGGACTTTTCTTAAAGCACATTCTTTACATTAGTTATATCTTAAATTAATATTTGTTCCCTTTTTTTTTTGCTAATCAGCTTTTTTAAATGCCTTTAACTCTCCAATAATGGAAGGGAAATTAAATCTTCCTTTCTTATTGACACATCACTTAAGATAAACACTGTTTCTACTGATGACATTGAAATGAGAACTATGCAAAAATAAATGTATAATATTTAAACACTGTATAATTTCTCTTTCAAACAACACAGGCAGCAAGGTCTCAGGGTTGTTGCACTCACCCCTCTTTTGCATTGTGAAACAAATTTGGACTTTGTGTTGCCATCCATGGCGGTGTTTCCTTTTCTAGGACGTACCACAAAGAAACAGTATTTTTAGATACAAGGAGGCTACTGCAGTTACACTGTATTTCAAATGTACTATACAAACACCAATTCTCCCGTCAGGCATGAGTTAACGTAACTGATAGAGCTGTTTAACCAATATTACTACATAAATATGTCCATAGTCAATCAAATATTACCTTTTTCAGCAGTGAACCACTGCTCATCCTCAGTTTCAGGTGATACAATCCGACTGTGTCTGAAAACTTTGGGGGTTGAAAACAGCTGACTGTCTATTGCAGTTTTATCAAAAGGTGCTTTAAAATGTCCCTCTTGGTTAGCACACAGGTCATCTTGATCAGAGACATTGCCGTCATTAGTTTGAGCTGTCAGTGCCTCAAACCAGTCTGGATCCAGTGGCCCCAGCTCTAAATTGGAAAATTAAAAATGGTTTAAAGATCAGTAATAAGTGTACAACCTCCACAAAAACTATCCTTTTATGATTATGCAGCTGGATTTTATAATATCATGAACCCTTTTAAAATGCAATGCCTTACAAAAGTCCTGCAACGTGATAAATCTTTGTTCATTTTTTTATTGTGACAACTGTTATCTTACCTTTCCATATTTCATCTTTGAGTGTGTCGTACATGTTCTTGGAGGGTAAATCCATTCCAGTCGACATGTGAAATGCCTAAAATGTGGTATGTGGCACACCTGAGAAGACAAAGTTTTCATCACGGCATACATACCTTGGCATAAATGTTTTTTTTAAGCTAAGTTAGTCACATGAATGATGCTATAAATCCCCCCCCAGGGTTTATCAGCGTCAGATAACGTGAGATAACTTTATAGTGAAACCGGTTAGGACAAAGTGTCGAAAAGGTCAAGTAAGCTGACGTTTTATTCAGCGGTGACAAATGTTAGAAAATACACAAATTCACGATACAGTTACTTTGACTTCATTCACAAAAAGAAACCAGACGTTAAAGTAGCCTTTAAGTCTCTTACCATGACGGTGTACGACAGTGTTGACTCTCATATCGCGATGACACTCATCAAAATATTAACAGCATAAACAAACTACAGAACCACTAAATAAATGTATTAATGTATAACTGTGAACCAACCTAACTACTAACGTTAGCTTAGCTAAAGTTTGCCCCTGCTACGAAAACAAACCTCGCGCGCCGCGTACCGGATGTGAGTCGGACTTCAAAATAAGAGTCGTTTCAGTTCCCGTTTATTTACAACAATAAAGGGGACTTAATACATCAATATTAGGATTTCCCGGTAAATGTGGCCATTATGCTCGAATTTGTAATTTCTTCAATCAAAATGAAATATGCTTGATATGGAAGCCTATTTCCGCCAATGTGACAGAAAAAAAAGAAAGATTCTGTAAGTCATTATGAGAAACTTTCTCAAAATATTGACTTAGCATCTCCAAATAATGACTTAGTATCTCAAAATAATGAGAAACTTCCTCATTATTTTGACTCAGTATCTCAAATGAATGACTTTGTGACACTAAGTCATTTACTTTTCTGAATATAAGAAAGGTTCTCATTATTTTGAGACACTAAGTCACTGTTTTGAGACACTAAGTCATTGTTTGAAGACACTAAGTCATTGTTTTCAGATACTAAGTTATTATTTTGAGATGCTAAATCAATATTTTGAGAAAGTTTCTCATTATAATTAATAACAAAATCCTTTCTTTTTGTCACATTGGCGGAAATGATCTTCCATAAATTAACTCAAAAACATTACAATATTGAGGCACAGTAAAGAATTGAATAGAAATATATAAAGGTCAAATAAATAAACTGTTTTTTCTTTTTCAAATCTTCAGACATTTGTCTGGTCAATACATGTCTTTTTTAATTGAACTTAATTGAACACCTGTCACTGTCTAAAATGTGGCCATAACAGATCATAATCATTGTGTTGATTTCAGGCAGACTGGCTGATTGGCAGAGCTTGAGCCGTTAGGGAGCACAATAATAATAATAATAATAATAATAATAATAATAATAATAATAGTAATAATAATAATAATATCACATAAATAAAAACATAAAACCACAGTTAACAAATGTAAGTTTTATTTTTCTTGTTACATGAGTGTACAGAACACCAAATTACAGTACATTGCAAAGGCAGTAGTATTTACAAGGCGAGAGGCTACACCAACAGTTCTTGTGGAAGCTTTACAAATATGTAGCTATCTCTTTCACTCTACACGTAACTCAAATTGTAAGTCCATAAAAATACAATCTTATGAGTCTGAGCAAAGCCCCCATTGCACTATGTACAATTATTCAGTTAAAATAGTTTCTGTATTTGTTCATAAACATTACTATTACACTTTATAGTACATAGGATTTGCAAGCTTGGCAGGTTTAACAGATGAAACAAAATATTTGTTTTCTATAAATCTAGTCTGATAAAAGCACATTTTTCTCTTGCAAATAATATAAATAATTTATCTAATTGCTAAAAGCTGCACAGTTAAAAGATACAGTAAGATGTTTTAAGTAACAGATAACCCACACATCAGCATGTAGTGTAGGTTTGGGAGACGTTACAGTAGTTTTGCAGCATGTTGATGTAGTTAAATGTGAACAATTTATATAAATCAGTATCCATAATTCCATCTGTGATGGTCGTCAGGTTTATATCACACACTCAAGCACCCACACACAACACACCCACACACAAACACACCCACACACACACACACACACACACACACACACACACACACACACACAAACACACACACGCAGACACACACATACACACACAAAAAGTCGACTACTTTTACCAAGTAATGAAGCCTCCCTTTTTTATGTACTAACAATGTTTTCCAATGCTATGATATTCAAATACATTCTTTCAGGATACAGTAAAAGTCTTCGAACTTTAGTGAAGGATTGCACGTTTTCCCTTGACAATTAAAACAATATAACTGAAAGATAATCACTTAGCTTTGGTATGTCATTTGTTAAATGTGAAAGTTGTTGACCTCAGTAGCAAGTGGTCGCTTTGTGACAATATTTCTATTATTAGTGCAATAAAAGCCTAAGTTTCTTTCCAACAGCCAAGTCTCTTATCTTTAAAAAAAAACAAAAAAACATCAGTATTGCTGCACATCTAAAGATCGGACTTTATGACATTCTGATGCGCTCTGAGCAAGAAGAGGAAAGGGGGTTTGGTTATTCCCAGGAGAGAGCAGAGTGCTTGTTAACCACTGAGATGATAGCAGCAACCCCAGACAGGACCAGCAGGAATGAATGTCACATGCTGCCGTACCGCCATCAAAGAGTTGAGCCCGAAACCCTGGAGTCTGGGAGGAAAGCTGTGATGGCTCGGTAGCCTTGAGCTCGCCGGATCATGTCCCGAATCTCTCCATTAAGTTCCATCAATTTGACAGAGATTTCTGTCAGGTCCTGTTTTGAGCCCACCAGAGCAAAGGTTCCCGTCTGACCCAAGGTTTGATGTCTGAAGAAGATGTTGAGTAAAGTCTGGACCTCATCCTCAGAAGGGCTGCCAAAGATGTCGCTTGGCCACATCGTTCTGCAATAACAAACGAAAATGTTACATATCTGACTGAGGGCATTTTTTTCTTTTACTCCTCATATACAGAAAAATACGCCTTTTTCTTTTCTTACCTGCACTCACGAATGTAGCGGATGGCCATCGGAAACCCGTTGTTCTTCAGACACTCCAGGATGGCCTGAACAGCGGCCTCAGAGGAGTTGAAGGTGGGCTCAGAGCAGGAGATCTGACGGCCAGCAATCTCATCATTTGTGACTGAGGCTGCTGCTAACCTCAGGTTGCTCTTCAACTCATTTAGCTCTCTGGACATGTTTGTCAGCTAAAGGTTGAGAGGGATTAATATTATATTATATTAACAGGGACATGGATTTGATGGTGGGTGTCATGTTTACAATACGAGAGGACAAGAAAATGCATGATGAACCTACCTCGGGAATAGAGCTTATTGCGTGGACCTGTTCAATCAGCTTACAGTAGGACTGAAAAAGTAGCAGCAGCTGAAAGTGGAGTTTGTAGAGTCTTTGACAGAGCTCCAGTTGCTGAAAGAAAGAGAAAAGTGGTTGTTGGCTAAATTACTTTTGATTGGACTAGTTCTCTCTTTCTTAGGTATTACTTTATACTTTATCAGGTATTTTCAGAGTTCATCTGGTGGACAGTTAACTCACTTATTACTACTCTAGAACTACCTCTAAATAGATTTCAAAGCGGTTGCAGTTATGCAGAAGACTACACAAGTGCTGAAGATGGCACACGAGTAAGACGAAGCTGTGCTTTTAAAAGCAGAAAAGGGCAATTTCAAACAACAAAGAGGAACAAGTCTTTACAACTTACAGCCAGAGATTCCATTTGCTACAAAGCAAGCATGTTACAGGACAGAAAAGAAGTCGGGAAAACAGAGAATCAAAAGAAGGGCATGCAATTCCTCATTATCTCCTTTTAAGAGGGTGAGAAGTATTAGCACAGGTCATTTTATTGGCATGCAGAGAGGAAGAAAAGTGAGTGAGTCAATGTGTAAATTAGAACTGGAAGGAGGGCTGGTAGTCGCCATGAATTAAAGGTTCCCTGTGGAGTTTTTAACTTCTAGCAGTGCCATGTGGCTGTTTTTCTATTAATTTGTCCCTGTTTTCTGCACACACGAGGATGCACGCGCACCTGACGCGATACACAGTCCTACGAATAGCAGTGGCAGCACTTTGCCAAGATACGCTGCAATGCTGCAACAAAGACAAGAAAGAAGAAGACTGCAAGCTAGAAAATATGGATGTAAACATGCTGGATTTAAATACCCAAACTACTTGACTTTGAAAATGCTTTATGAGAGGAATTGCACTTGACATGTTTGTTAGAGCTCAAGGATGCACACAGAGTGTTTTGCTGAGTTACACTAAATGTAAACAAGAAAGCTCCACAGGACCCCTTTAATTAAAAAGCCAAGTGAAAAAAAAGCCAAGCACAATTTTGCCTGTTAATTAGCACAGATGCAGTCACGTTGGTGGGAATCTCTAAGCCATTAAGTACCAAAGTTTTAACAGCAAAACTTTCCATTTTGCTGTTTTCTTCTTCAGTTATGAAGTGAACCTAATTGTTTACTACTAGATCAAACGCAACTTAAGAGAGCTTGCTCCCATGCCCAGCAGAGCTGAAAATAATCACAATGCACACTGGAATGAGATACTCAATGTGACGTGCGGCAACTCAAGGTTGTCAGAAACTTGATATTTACATAGTGTGAGAAAATGAGAGGTAACACTCACAGAGCTATAGTACCACACAGTAATCGTAATGCAGAAAGTACAGTATGAAAGGTCAGTTGAAGTGGAATATTTAGTATTTTCAGTGATTTTATTCTTTACATCTTAATTAAAAAATAATTACATTAATTATACAACCTTTTGTGTGTTTGCACTCTGGCTGGATGCATTAGTTGACCACAGAATATACTGAACTATCATTTTACATTCAATTGATATGACAGCAGACTTATTACTCAAATTCCTAAAAAAAAAAGAAAAAAAAAAGGTTTTACCTTTTCTTCATGCTCTGCTGGTTGACATGTTATCACGGTGCCCCCAGTACTCCTGGGAAAGGTTGCCTTACAGTTGCTCAACCACTGTGGGTGACAGAGACAACATAATCACAATCTAACCAACTTGGTGTCAACTATACAGACGACATTCAGCTTGGAAATCACAATATTCATCTCCTTACAGTGAGAGCTGCCTCCTTTCTGTTGTTGTAAGTATCAAGATACTCTTGAAGTTCCAACACGCTGAATTTCATTTTTTCCAGGAGCCCATAAGACATAATCTGTGAAAACAGAGTTTTATTGTTGAATTTGTTCAACTACCACTAACATGTCATACTGTTAAGAAGTATTAGAAACTGGAAACTCTCCGGTTACTCACTGTGTCTGCATCAATAAACAGGGTTGGGCACTCTGAACATGATGTCAGCATTTGAGAAGACCTCAAAAGCTTTGATCCTAATCCTCTGAGGCCATCACCGAGGTAACTCACAGCGTCACAGGTCAAGGAGCAAAATTTGGTCTGAATACTCTGCAAAGCAAACAAAAAAGGCTGGCTGTGATACTGTCAAAGTCACTCCTACATCATTTCAGGTACTTACATTCTGTCATTATTTCAG